CCCATAGCTGACATCCTCGCAGGACCGGTGTTTAAGTTATTCAAAGCTTCATTAGATCAGGGTGTTCTACCGAGGGACTGGAAGGTAGCAGCGGTGGTAGCCATACATGAGGGGGGAGCCCGAACAGAGTTAGGTAGCTATGGGCCAGTTAGTCTAACCAGTATCTTGTGTAAGGTGCTGGAAAAGATTATTCGCACCCATATATGCCAGCACCTAATGCAGCACCCTATGCTGTGTCCAACTCAACACGGGTTTCTCAAAGGTAGATCCTGTTTGACTAATCAACTGTGCTTCTTGGACGAAGTTACCAGAAGATTGGACGAGGGTAGATGTGTGTTATCTTGACTTTAGCAAGGCGTTTGACTCGGTTAATCAACGCCTGCTACTGGTCAAAATAGATGCGTTCGGCATAAGGGGACAAATCCACAAATGACTGAGAGACTTCGTGACAAACAGAAACTTCTACGTCAAAGTAGGTGACAAGTGCTCCTCTACAGCACTCGTCACAAGTGGTGTACCTCAAGGCTCTGTTCTAGGTCCATTGTTGTGCCTGCTTTTCGTAAACGATCTTGCTGCGCTGCTGACATCCCCCACCTTTTTCCTTGCCGACGATGTCAAGGTGGTTGGATCTGACGGAAAAGAGAACCTAAAAAGAGACATAACTGCTGTCCTTAGCAGGGCGCAGAAGTGGGATTTGCCTTGGAATGCTGGCAAAAGCCAGTTGCTATTGCTGACTGACGGAAGCTTGACAGTAGTGCAACACCAGGGTTCGTTCACGACAGAACCAGTTGGTAAGGTAAAGGACCTGGTTATTGTCGTAAACTGCGATTTTCGCTGGGCCCAGCAGTGCGTAGCAGCCGCAAATAAAGCTCGCAGAGAACTCTTCCCATTGAGGTCAGCATTGTCTTGCAGAAAGCCGGAGATGTTCGTGCATCTGTACAAAGCTATAGTTAGACCTCACCTCGAGTACTGTGTGCAGGCATGGTCACCCTTCTTCAAAAAGGATGCCGCCGGCTTAGAGCGCGTTCAGCGACTGGCAAAAAAAATGGTTGAGAGCCAGTGTTCTGATCGTGCAACGAATACTGACGCACCGCAGTACAGCTTCCGGCTAACCAATCAAGAATA